CGCATTTTGACATGTCATTCGAAATTTGTCACAAAATCACACAAATTATCAACAATTTTAAAATTCCAAAATCCCGAACATATTGGTTAATAAGGCCAAAGAAATCGTGTTGGATTTACTCTGTGAAGTCTCGTGCCATTTACCAGAAAGAATATGATGTTTTTTAATGAATGGAAAGACAAAAATGACCTGTTGTAAATGAAGATGTATTGTTAAATTATTTCACGAAAAGTAAGTACCTAGGTACTTACTTTAAACAAATAACTTAGCTTTTGATATTGTTAGTATTTAATAATTTAATTATAAATATGTATAATTTTATGTGATTTTGTGACAAATTTCGAATGACAAAATAAAACAACCAAATAACGAATTTAGACATTTTAGTCCATAAAGGTTGCCATGACGACCTTTACGGCCTAGGCCGAAAAAGAAACATTTTACGGACTGAAATGAGTCCGTAAAATAGCTGTTTTTGGGAGCGTATGACAAAAAATAAATCATACAACTTTAATTGCTATAGGTTTAAAGTTAACCTCCAAATAAATGTGATAAAATAATAAAATATATGTATTTTTATATTACATGTTTATTATTGTATTTACCAATTTGTCCAATTTTTTTCAGACATTTTCTTTTCCAATTTTAAATAATAATATTTATTGTATCTAGTTAATTTCAAAATTATCTCTTCTAATAAAATCGAATAAATATATATTTTATATTTATGGACAAATATTTAAATTTTAATAAATTTGCATAGTAGGTTATTAAATTAATTGCTAACAATATTGTATTTTGATTTATAGAAAAAAGGTAATGTCAAATATAATTGGCACCACAAAATAATTCATAGGCCATTTATTGTTATAGGTTAAAAGATAATTCTAAATAAATGTGAAAATAATTATATCTATCCATTTGTTTTGTTGTCCTTTATATTTAAGGAAAAAATAGAATATTTTTAGATCAATACCAATCAATACAATTTTTGTCAACTCATAGTTCATTTTTATAACTTAAATTTTACAAAATATCGAAAAATATTTCATTATTTTTATAAATATATAAAAATAATAAAATAAATAAACATTCCATATCTAAAATTAAATATATTAAACAAGTATTAAAATTATTAATAAGAAAAAAGAAATAGATAAAATAAAAAATAAAACTGAAAAATAAATGAAATAGTTAAAATTATTTTGAAACAATTTTATGAAATTAATCATGGAATTACAGAATAAAAATTTATACAAGGTGATCCAAACTGTATTCCGGAAACTTCGGCAGCATATTCTGCAGACAAAAATAAGTAAAAAAGTTTTTATAAATGTATGTCCTAAAATGCTTAGTTTTGGAAATACAGGGTGTAGAAGTTTCATTTTTATTTAGATTTTTTCCAAATAATTTTTGAATTAATATAAATATTTGGATGAAAATTGATGTCTGGAAGGTTTTTGACATGAGAAATTTGATTTTGATGTTAATATGACTCCTATTTGTAGGGGGCGCCACCTATATGTGTTTTAATTGTTTTGAAGAGTAATAACTTTTTGTCCGTACCTGTATAAAACTACTGAATGAAAAAATATACATATCCGTGACTTTTTACGCAGAAAATGTCTCTTCTTTAAAAAAACATTTTAAGTATATGATTTCAGTCTATAGTCTATAAAATGAATAACTTTGAATTTTGACCGTTATTTTTTACCAACATGGCAAATATAAAATCCCTCTATCCAAAAAGTTACTGATATTCTTTAAAATGAGTGCCGAACGAATCAGATAGGTTACTCTTTTTACTTTCGTGATATAGAAAAGGAAAATAATAAAACAAGTGACAGTTCTTCCTCTTCTTGCAAAAATTAACGCGAAATGTCATAATTGACAAAAGTAAAATGTCATCAGCCTTTGACATTTCTAAATATCAGACCAATGCCGTCTCTAATAGAACAGCCTCGGAGCGAGATTTATGACGTCACGCTAGTTAGATACCACGGATTAATAAATATGTTGTAGAATACACGGAAAACTTAATTATTCCTCGTATTTTTGGTTTGTATTTTAAAAATGATATAGTTTACATGAAATATACATAATATATAGTTAATAAATACAATATATATATATACCTATTTATAGTAATAAATACTTTGGCAAATAAACTATGAACCATACAAATGCAGCAAATGTTTTACAATATACAAATAATGAATAGGTACATAAGATAATGGGTAAAATGTAAAATATATTTTAAATTTTGGGGTTTGAAAATCGATCTAATTTAACAAAAAACATTCAGTATCTACTAATAGTGATATATTATTATTTGCATTCACAAAATTTATATGTATATTTTGCAAGCATCACTGTTCGAAAAATTATATTTGCAAATAATACAATATCATAGAAAAAAAGGCGTCAGCGACGGCTATGAAATAAAGATCGCTGTCATTTCATATGTAAAATTATTCTAAAATTTTTGATTTTCTTGGGATTTAGGTTCGGGAAAAACGCTGATTAAGTTTTCATTTGGTTTTTCATTATTTTTTTAAGTTTCAAAAAAAAACGTCATAGCTAACGTTTATAGCCTTCATCAGTGTTGTGTCATATGAAAAAAATAGTGTCGAATATAATCCAAAAAATTACATATACGAGGAATAATTATGTTCATGTATTCTACAACATATTTATTAATCCGTAGTATCTAACTAGCGTGACGTCATAAATCTCGCTCTAAGGCTGTTCTATTAGAGACGGCATTGCATCAGCATGGCCGCAAGTAGCTAACCTAATAAAATATACACTAGAAAAGCCCGCGGGAACTGTCAAGTTCAAAGTTATTCGTTTCACAGACTATAATAACTATTTAGTCAACATGTTTAATTTATGTCAATGATGACAGGTAGGTATTGATAATTTCGATTGCAAATATCTCAAGAACCATTACTCGTAGCAGTTTTTACCAAGAGACTTTTTTATAGTCTATTCTTCTACTCAGTAGTTTTCTACAGGTACCGACAAAATGTTATTACTCTTCAAACCCGTTAAAAATATGTAGGTGGCGCCCTCTAGGGGTGATATTGGGCATCAAAATCAAATGTCTTATGTCAAAAAACTATATATACAGTACATCTGCTGGATCTGTGTCTATGAAAGGAATGCGGACAAAAACATTTAAATAAACAGCAATATATTTTATACGTCGATTTGACGAGTGCGTCACCGCAAATCGCTCCGCCCCACAGTGGGGTATTTGACACAGATAGTTGATCGAAATTTTTTTTATGTAGACCTTATATAAATTATTGCTATTTTCAATTAAAGAGGAAATAATATGAACAAAATAAAGGATAATTGGTCGATTCTAAAAAAAGAAAAAGAAAAATCACTGTTCAGTGTTTGTCCGTGGGAATACCACTAATGCCAGTAGTAATATCGCAACTAATATTACTAATGCTACGACTGATCCGCGAGCAATGCCCATACCACTAAAGTCGCTACTAATGCCAAATTGTGTTATACTGCTAATGGCACTAATGCGATCGCTTTGTACAGAACAATTCCATCCGGTTTAGAACCTCGGCATACGGTATATCGGCTGATTGGCAAATTAGAGGAAACGTAAAGAATGTTTTCTCGTGTTTATCAACAAAAATATAAGAAATGCGCAGTATTTTATTTTACTGTATGAAAGCCCAATGTTTACTAAGTAAAACGTATATTCTCTAATATGCTGAATTCTTCGAAATGCGCAACTAAATCTCTAAGTATAATAAAAATGTCACAAATTTAATCAAATTTTCTGAACGCCCAACTTTTAGTTGCAAAAAAAATCGTTAGTATAGAGAATATCAAAATTAATAATACGTTTTTGTAGAATACATACCTGCAGCTTGCTGAGCCATTTTCAATCAAAACAATAATATAAACGTAAAAAGAGCACAAGAACAAAAACAATTTATAATTTTAGACATAAAATTTAGCCATTTTCCTCTTATCTGTGAGAAGTAACAACTTTGACGTTTCGTTGAAACAAATGAATGCAATAAACACACCCATAGCAACGCCATTCATTGCAGACATGATTTAACTTATCATTTATCTTTTTTTGGCAAATCTTAAACACATTTGCTTTTTCGAATTTCGATCACCTTTTTCATGCTAATACCCCACCGTGCGCCCACTCATTTTATTGGCTACTTGCAAATTTGTTGACTTTTTATTGATGGGACGCGTCGTCTATTTTTTTACGAAAACCATCGAGAGAATATCGTTTCCCCTCTCACGGATACCCCGTAGCTACAGAATGGACAGACGTACTGTACCTGCCACCAATTTTCACCCAAATATTGACGTTGCTTCAGAAATTATTCGGGAAAAATCGAAAAATAAAAATGAAACTTTTACACCCTGTATCTCCGAAATTATGCATTTTAGGACATATACATTTATAGAAACTTTTTAACTTATTTTTATCTGCAAAATATGCTGCTCAAGTTTCCAAAATACGGTTCGGACCACCCTGTATATCAGGTGTTTATTATAATGTACTAAATTTTTTATATTATCTATCTATTAGATGAACTAGTTTATTTTATAATTTTTTAGTCAAATTTTATATAAAATATAAAAATTAGCACAAAGGAAATAAAAAATATTAAATATTAACATGTTTTTATCAGTTATATTTTAAATAAAAAATAATTAATTAATATTTCATCTTAATAATGAAATTTTAGTCGGTAATATTGTTATTGTTATAAAGCTTATATAATAAGTGTAATATTTATAGTTTATTTACTATTTATTATATTTTCAATTAGGTAGTCACTCATATAAATATTTAATATAGCTGTTAAGAAAATATTTTGAAAATGTCTCAGCAAGATCATTATAAGCACGAAAAAAATTATAACAATCGTTATTTGTAAACATATTGACGACCAGAAAATGATTCAAATTTATACAGCACAGAAACTAATCATTCAACTTACCTTTTTCCCTTAAATCTGATCAGCACAGTTGAAGAAGATCGAGGAAAAATTCGAATATTTCTAGGTTAAACAATTCGACTAAAGTTGTAGAAAATTTAGGAAGGCATACATACGACAGGGCCTGCTGGATCGATAGCCGCTGCACTTGTGCTGGCCTGTGCAGGAACTAGCTTGATTTTCTCCAAAACTCCGTGGTTTAAACCACCTGTAAATCGACTTGGCCCGACTTTTCCGACCCGAGTTTTCCCGAACGAATCGAGGAAATTGTGCCTTTATTAATTTTTCCACTTTTCTTCCATGCCGTTTTTGCGTTGCCATATTTGAACAAACATTAGGCCAGATTTGTGTGTGCAAAACTGTTATTTCTAAATCAGAATAATTAGGTCTATTAAATTTTTTGATTATGTAAAGAGCACATTGTTTACTCACTTGTTTCGTCGAACTGCTTGAATCCATTTTTGCTTTTCATCAAATCGGTGGGAAAACTATGAAGCTATAAATTGTTGCTTCGGTAGAGCTGAATATCCGGGAAAGTTGAGATATTGAATGTTATTACACCCAACAACGCCCTAATTACGCTCTCCTTTACGCCTTAACATTTTTTCGGCAATTTTATTAACATTTTAAATTGTCGCAAAGTCACAATACGACGCGACGTCTAGTTCGAATTCTTTTTCACTTATTTTTTGCTACCCGAAACAGCGCGTTACATCACACAAACCTCGTACTTTTACTTGAGTGATTTATTGTTTCAATAACTGCACTAGCAAAAAACTAAAATACTTAAATATTATGACAAAGCCACGATTTCAAGCGTTTGTGTCTAGTTATTTGTTTTAGAATAAATTAGGGTTTGATAATTATTCAATTTTATCAGAACAGTAGAGATAAAAAAACCGGATTTAATAAAAAAATCGGAAATGTCACTTTAAGTTGAGAGGTTTGGCAACTGTTTTCTACCCTTGTGCAGTTCGTTACGCTGAATGCTGAATAAACCGAAATTAATTTTCAAAGAAAACTGTAAGGTAAACTTTACTCTTGAAATGAATGGGTCTTTAATGTAATTGACGGAAAAATATACGCATTACTTCCTGAATTTGCAGGTTTGCTTATTCTAAGAATTGTATTTGAGTTCGAGAAAAAAGAAAACTACCATGTCAATATATACAGAGGGTAAGTCTTATAAATAAGTGCAAATATTTTCAGGATTGGTAGATCTCGCTAAAATTCTTCTAAATTTAATCTACTACCTGTGTTGCCATATTATCAAAAAATTATATTTTTTAACTAACAACAAAAAAAAACCTTTATAATCTTGTTTCTGGAGTCGAAATATACTACCCCTAAAATTATTTGCACTTATTTAAGACTCACCCTGTCTATTTTATCTTTACCAGTTTTCAAATAAATTAAAAATAGTTCTTTATTTTTTTTCTTAACACTCATTTATTCGTTATTTTTCAGTTTCATAAAATTAATCTACTACCTATATGTTGTCATATTATCAAGATTTTATATATTTTAACTGAAAATTACAAAAAAAATTCAATAGCGCGAGATGATGAGTAAAATGAAAAAATACTTATTTAAGACTCACACCCTGTATAGTTTTTTCGGTACATCGCAGCCCACGTGATTATAGGTACTATACATTATTTGTATAAATATAAAATCAAATGCTGTAGCATTAGGTACAATAAATCTGAATTACTAATTCGTTAAGTGAACAATATTAATTATTATTGTGATAATTAAACGGTTTTTAATTTTATACTACTACTTGTTTGTTTTTTTATATTACTGTCTGTTTATGTCACAAGATATAGGGTTCTTTTACTTAAAATTTTGATTTATTTTGTATTTGTTGTATCTGAAAAGGGCGCAGAAAATTATAACATATTTTTACTCACCCCCTAGTCACCCTGTATATATTAAACAAAAACATTTGAACAGTGAAAATTTCATAGGTTGAATTTTGAAAAAGACACAGTTAATGGTGGTAGTTCAACGCTAAATGATAACTTTGTTTTCAAAATTTTATTATTGTAAATAAATTACATGAAACTTTTTGTTATTTATGCTCTATCCATTGATAATTGATTATTTCCTACGGATTTCCCAGAAATATGGAAGGGATATCTCGCTGCTATATCTCTGGGATTTCCTCTGTGACCGATTTTATCTTATTCAAAGGATTTTTTATAGTTTAATCTTTGGGTAGATTTATACAGATTTTATTTAATCTGTTCTGTGGCTACACATCAGGCAATAGCAGACAGTAGGCTTTAGCGATTGACACCACTTTTTTCGAAAAGAAGAATGATGACGTTTACAGATTTTCCTTTGACAGCTGATTTCTTTGACATTCAAAAAGTGGGTGGAAATTTGTAAGGAAATTATTGACCTGCCTTTTCGGCGTTTGGAAAGAGGGTAAAATTAAAATTTTCAGCTAATGGAGGCTTAGAAATTGCGTAAGTTTTTTTCAGTTATATATTTAAGATGATTTAAACATAAATAGTCATCTAATTTAGTATCAGGAATAATTAACTTTGCATTCATTTAATTTAGTTAAAACCACGTCGAGAGGTCGGAAAACAGGACACAATGATTGGTGGGTTGTTTGTTTATAACCATAAGGGCGAAGTCCTGATTTCGCGTGTATATCGAGACGATATCGGACGAAATGCTGTTGATGCGTTTCGAGTGAATGTAATCCATGCCAGACAGCAAGTGAGGTCTCCAGTAACCAATATAGCTCGTACTTCCTTTTTTCATATAAAGGTAACAATAAAATAACCAGCAGTTATTAGATATTTAAAGTTGCATTTTCAGAGAGCTAACATTTGGATTGCTGCTGTTACTAAACAAAATGTTAATGCTGCCATGGTATTTGAATTTCTGCTTAAGATTATTGAAGTGATGCAGTCTTATTTTGGAAAGATATCAGAGGAGAACATTAAAAACAATTTTGTTTTGATTTACGAATTATTAGATGGTACGATTTTATTATATTTTGACCTGTTTAATATTGTTTCATTCTAGAAATTCTTGATTTTGGATACCCACAAAACACCGATACTGGCGTTCTAAAGACGTTTATTACTCAGCAAGGAATAAAATCAGCAACTAAAGAAGAACAAGCTCAAATAACCTCCCAAGTTACAGGTCAAATAGGTTGGAGAAGAGAGGGTATTAAGTATCGGAGAAATGAATTATTCCTAGATGTTTTGGAATATGTGAACTTATTAATGTCACCACAAGGTATTTTTTTTAAATTTCACAGCTGTTTGAATGTCTAAATTTTTAAAATTTATTTTTAAGGGCAAGTTCTTTCTGCTCATGTAGCTGGAAAGGTAGTGATGAAGTCATATCTTTCCGGAATGCCAGAATGTAAGTTTGGAATTAATGATAAAATTGTTATGGAGGCAAAAGGTAAAGGAAGTTTGGGCTCCACTACTGACTCAGATCCAGCTCGTTCGGGCAAACCTGTGGTGGTTATTGACGATTGTCAGTTCCATCAATGCGTGAAACTCAGCAAATTTGAAACTGAGCATTCCATTAGTTTTATTCCGCCCGATGGAGAATTTGAGCTTATGAGGTAACAGAAAATACGGGTAAAATTTTTCATTTTAATAATGAAAATATTTATTTATAGATACAGAACAACAAAAGACATATCATTGCCATTTAGGGTTATTCCTCTAGTTCGGGAAGTAGGACGCACAAAAATGGAAGTGAAAGTTGTTCTCAAGAGCAACTTTAAACCTTCATTGCTAGGACAGAAAATTGAGGTTAAGATTCCAACACCGCTGAATACTTCAGGTGTTCAATTAATTTGCTTAAAAGGAAAGGCTAAGTACAAAGCTTCAGAAAATGCCATTGTATGGAAGTAAGTGTTTATTGTAATCACAAGATTCATCTCATAAATCCATCACAATCTGGCAACGCTGTCGCCATTGCTTGTCACTCAAAGTTGATCATGTGCATCGGAATTTGTTTTGCGATTACCATATATTATAGCCTTTTATGTTGTTAAAAATCTAAATGTGTTGTTTTTCAGGATTAAACGCATGGCTGGTATGAAGGAGACCCAACTCTCTGCTGAAATTGAACTATTGGAAACGGATACAAAAAAGAAATGGACGCGTCCACCAATTTCCATGAATTTCGAAGTTCCGTTTGCCCCTTCAGGTTTTAAGGTTAGGTATTTGAAAGTTTTTGAGCCCAAACTCAATTATTCGGATCACGACGTTATTAAATGGGTTAGATATATTGGTAGAAGTGGTTTGTATGAAACAAGATGTTAACTCGAATCTATTCTCCAAGTTAAACTAGATATAACATGTTTGTTCATTTTTTGGTAATTATTATTTGGAAAACTGGAAATCGTCCGATTTTCACCAAAATTGGTATACACCCTATTTTGAGGTCGTAGATTACGAATCTGAACTTTATCCGTGGCGGTCTCTTACCGTTTTTCAGAAAAACGGAAAATAATTTCATCACTGAAATTTTCCTTATTTCGGCCCATATAAAGTAATAATTTCACTATATTTTCATTATATTATAGTTTATCTAAAAACCACACTTGATTGAGGATAGAAAAATGTCCAACATTTTACTGAAAAAACACTTTTCTTAACAAAATAACAAAGAAAATTGAAACCGGTTGGAAGTTTGACATTTCATATATCCTTCTTTCTCTCTCCTATGTAATGAGAAAGACAAATATATTCTAGACCTAATCTAGAAATTTGAAAATTTGCAACGTTGCCATATCTTCTATTTTTTCGGGTGATTAGGGACTATTATGAGATCTGACTGTTAAATATACCTACCTATATCCACAAAGTTACGCGGAAGAGTTTTGATTGCATTGGTTACAACTTCCATGCGGAGGGTGTGAATCTTTTGTTATATTCTATTAAAAAAAGGTTAACCCCCTCCGGAAAGAAGTTACATAAGGACTATTTATAACCACAAAAGAGTTTTGATTGCATTGGTTTCAACTTCTTTGCGGAGGGGGTTAGTTTTTTTTGACAACAAAAGATTAACACCCTCCACATGGAAGTTGTAACCAATGAAATCAAAACTCTTTCATGCAACTTCGTGGTTATAAATAGTCAGATCTCGTTGGTAAAACATGTTAACAGTTATGGGAAGGAACCGTTCTTCTGGCGACCGCCTTTTGTAATCCCAGAATGTGCGAAAAAAACACGCTAAATTTAGGTTTAGCATTGGCAACGTTGCTTTAAATGCCAGAAACACATTACCCAACATTTTCAGATTGTTTACAAATTTATTTTAGCAAATTTTCCTCTATTATGCATAGAATTGGTTAAAAAAGTAACAGAAAATAGCTAAAACATCATTGTTTAATGAATACCTAACAAAATATGTGCTAGAAAACCTTAAAAATATGAGAAAATAAGAAAAATTCGATGTTGAAATAATTTTTCGTTTTTGTGAAAAACGGTAAGAGACCGCCAGAAAAAAAGTTCAGATTCGTAATCTACAACCAATTTTGGTGAAAATCGGACGATTTCCAGTTTTCCCAATAATTAGCCATTTTTTCTCTAGCTTTTAAATGAAAGCTAAAAATTTAAATTTATGAATTTTTAATCATACAGTTCACTTGAAATATTTGCTCTAATTATATTTTTTTTGGAGCAGAAACATTTATGTCATTTTATAGCGTTATTTTGGATATTTAAAGTTAATGAATGTTATTAAGGCTATGTCAGTTCTATAAGTAAGAAGCATATTTGTTGTAGATGCCAAAAATTTTGCAACAAATTGGAAAATTTCTTATTACTGAGTTATTAAAAAAAAATTTGCGGAATTAATTCAGTGCCCAATAAAAAAATAACTTTGGTACATGTCATGTGTCAACTGATATGGCGTTTCACTTTAAATATGTAAAAAGGGGGATTAGACATATACATATAACCCTTGTTTATATATTCTTAAAGTTGCCCAACCTCTGGTGAACAAATCGTGAAGCTTTAAAGGAATGAAGCATGTGATTAGGGGCGGAGTCAAAAATATCGATTATTTGCGGTATTTCCCTCAGAGTAATGTAATAATATAGCTCGGATTTTTGCGAACTATAATAGGGCTCAGCTGAATAAGAAATTTAAACAAAACTATTCTTTCATTGTTGATTTTCGATTATTTTTGCTGTTATTTTAAGGATTCTAAACCGTATTAACAAAGAAATTATTATTTCAATATGTTGGTACATTAATGCTAATTACTGGTAATTATTAATATTTAAAAAAAGTTACATACACTTACTTTATTTCGATTTGACACAGGGCTATAAAATTTTATTTCATTCTTAGATCATTTTATTCTAAATTGAGGTTTTACGAATTTACGATAATTTTTTTTTAAAAACAAAACTTTTATACATTCTTGATTAATTTTTTTCTTAATTAAAAATAAAACTTGGCACTTGCTTCAATAATATTATTTGACATTTAAATAAATATTATGTACTTAATACACCATTTAAATCTTTATTACACGAAATAAATCTTTCTTAGCGTAAAACAAATCAGAGTCAAGTTTGCTTTAACTTTGTACCATATGAAAAAAAAACGGCGTCCAGTTGGCTGGGAAATGACGATCGACGACATTTCCCATATAAATTTACATATAAAATGACAGTGATCTTCATTTCATAGCCATCGCTGACGCCGTTTATTTTCGATCAAGAATTATAGAAACTGAAAATATCATTATGTTTTAACTCACAAAGCCCGTTAAACCATAAAACTTTCTAGTGTATTGTTTTATTAGGAGTAAAAATGACACTTTTCGTGGCGAGACTGTATGTTTGACATACAGCCGAAGCACAAAAAGTCATTTTTACTCCGAATAGAGCATGCTATTTTTTTCAAACACCACAAATAATTTTTTAAACAATTTCAAACGTTCCAAATAATATAAAAAGACTTAAAACTCATACCTTATAAGTAATTATCATGATACAAAGAAAACAAGGTATGATATTGCGCAGGTTGGTCACTACGTCACAGGTGATAAACGGCACTATTGGTCGGCAAGCTCCACGCGCCAATTTCAAATTTTCAAACATATGACACATAATAAATGTGTATAATGTGTCATAACTTTTCAAATGTCAAGCTCGATGATTTTACATAACTTTATTGTCCTAATTATGTATTGTGTAATTATTATGTGTTATGGCCTGGGATTATGTCCTAATTCAATTGTTTTTGATCGCTTCCTGTTTCACCGGAAATGACCACAATTTTTGATTTTTAAACGGTACCTACCCTCGGTATATTTCTTTTTTATTCGATAGAAAATGACACTCCGAATAAAATGACATATCATCTGTCAACTGTTGACATTTTCGCATATGGTTTATTTGAAATTGTAACATGCCGTTCATAACGATAATTTGACTTGAAGATTCCAAGTGTGTGGTACCAAATTATTCGTAAAAAATTCCAACTTTTCCAAATATGCTAATGAGCCACCCTGGTTCCATTTGAAAAAATTGAGATATGATTAGAAATACGATTTGAGCATCTTTTAACTGGCTGGAAATGTAGCGGATAAAATATGATTATTTGGATACCAAATCTCCAGAAAAAAATTATTGGCTTTAAATCGATTGTGCAACATTTTTTTTGCATTAACTCTAATTTTTTCCTATTTGTTGCAAACTTTTAGATACTGTATTAAAAAAAACTATTTTCTCTGGTACTGACGTTTGAGGTCGTGTTTGGATACTGAGTAATTAGAATTTGAAGTTAATAGTAAAATATTCTTATTGTTTGTTTCAGTAAACCATTTTACCTTAATTTATTTTGCTTTTAATAAACTCAGTTCACTTTGTTTTAAATGATAAATATATTTTAAATCTAAAAAATAATTTAAAAAAAAAACGATTTTTGGGGGTTCATGTTCTGCCATAATGAAATAATTAAATGATTATCAGTAAACTTAGTATAGTAAGTAGGTAATAATAAACTTGAATATTAATAGCATATATATGGAACAAAATACCAAAATAGTTATAAAAAGCTTTATAAAAAAGATTATAAATAAGTAACAGTATAGATTATAAATAAGCGTAGAGGTACAGCTCTCATCTACCAATCTCAAGGTTGTGGGTTCGAATCCCACACCCGGCATTTCATCAGCCGACTATTTTTGTTAAAATAAAAATAGTTTGGGTACCTTGGTCGACTCAGCCTTAAATGAGTACTTGGGATTCACAATCCTGAGGTAATATAGGCGGTTGAAGCGTAGTGCTAGCCAAATTACCTTTCTTGTATACCGAACGGCTCTAGCACGGCAAGCTGTACCTTGCTACTCCCAAGGCGTTAAACGCTATATAAGGGAGCTATTATTATTATTATATAAATAAGTAAGAAACGATCTAAAAAAGACGTCTGAGTTGGCTTATTCATGAAGATCTTTTTATATATGTGAAATTATATCGTGAACGTCATTTTCAAGTCAACTTGACGCCTTTTTTTCGATCATAAGGCGGTGAATTTGATCTGAATATGTAGAGATTAGAACTTAAGTGTAGTCTAAATTCATTTTTTTTGCGGCTTATTTTTAGATACCTAATGTGTAAATGAATTAGAAATATTGATGAAACTTATGTATATTGTGAACTGTATTGAGTACCTTAATCTTAAGAATAGCTGAAAAACATTAATTTTTAGTTATCTTAGCTCCTAAATTGATATTTTTTTATATTCTATAAGTTTATATTATTTCAAATTTATTGCTTTTTAATTATGTAATATATCTATATTTCATTTTTTGGTGTGAATATTCAGTAATAAATTATAGTAAATAAAAAAACGTTTTGTTTATAAATATATGCTAAAAAGATTAAACCTGAAATTATGATAATCTAGTTGAAGCCTGACGCATCCGCCACATCGGGAAAAAAATACTTTTTATTTTTTTTTAATTAAATGAAAAACAAAAAATCCGGCGACGACAGTTTTTAGAAGAGCCAATAGCTATCTTTTAGTAAAAAGGCAGCTTTCTAGAGAAAGTCGTTACTTCAGTAGAGACGACACAGATAAACATTAACATTTTATATGCATCAATATACGCCCATATATACAGGTTGCAGGAGAATTTGTGAAGACGCCATCTTTTTGGTTTTAACGAATAAGTCATCAGCGATAATTTCTGCGATTTTTAATAGTTTCTGTGTAGTGAACCTTGTATAAACTTTGTTACAATGGTGATTAGTTGTTCAGCTTTCAAGTGTAAAAGCCGCAGCGATAAGGAAGAGCCAGGAGTCACGTTTCATAGGTAAATAAACAGTCCACTCCACCTTTTTAGCGTTTTTTTTTATTGAATTGCCCAAGCAGCATTTGGACGTCGGTCGGGACAACGTTGTGTCACGCGACCAAACGTCGGGGCGCAACGTCGGCCCAACCTCGTGCCGACCCTAGTCTGCACTAGTTTGGAGAATAATTTTTGGGTCGAAACGACGTTGGATACCTACGTTGGCTAGCATCCCAATTTAGTACAAACTGCAACGTTGTTTAAAATCCTAATTCACAGAAATACAAAACTATAATAATATGGCGTCAAGTCG